TTCTCTCTCTCTCTCTCTCTTACACACACACACACACACACACACACAACAAAACGTTCCGTAGTGCTACACCTATTAACTTCCCCGTGGAAACTGTCGTATATCCAGCAAATTAGCTGCGATAGAACCCCTCCTCCCTCCTTCCTCCCCTCTGAAACAAGACTCCAAAGCTCGAAACAATTCCCTCGTACATCACCACTGAATTCATTCTGGGTCTCTTCATATCCAAGCTTCTTCGTTCGCTGACCAGCTCTCCCCAACCCAACAGCATCTCCTCTACGCCACCTACGCCCACCGCGACAACTGGATGACAGCCCAGAGCGCCTCAGTAGCATTCGCGCAAGCCCCAGGCTCGCGGCTCTACGAATTTGTCTGCGACTACCTGCGCGTCCAGGGCCCTCTGTGCGCCGCCGCTCTCCTCTCGCACGACGACGACGGGACGACGCGCCAGCTGTACGAGGGCGACTGGGACAGACTCATCGCGGGCGGGGGCGACCTGGTCTTGTTCGTGGCCAAGCATGATGGCTTCGTCTATGACTCGGGTCCGGAGCTGCCGCGGTACACTACTGGTAACAAGCAGGAGCACTATCTGCTGGACGAGCATCATCGGAGCGTGGATGCCTTCCTGGGAGGGATCGAGGATCATGCGGGAGGTTGATTCATGATTGTCACTCACTCGTGACTTTGGCGACATGGCTTGGAGAACCTGGCTGGCCTACTTACTGCCTTATCAGAACTGGTTGCAAATAATTCTTTTTTCTTCGCAGGTTTCGTAGCCAGCGCCCTGTACAAGCTCAGAAATCCATCTTCGCTGGCCACGCGACTCCGAGAACCACAGCATGGCTTTAAGAACAGCCTAGCTGGCCACACTGCTTTGATCGACACCTTTCTGTTGACTTCTCCGGCCTTAATTCGCATGGTCATTCGAATTTCGCACCCATCAGCGAATCTCTTATCCATTTGCTTTGCTTTGCTTTGCTTTGCTTTGCTTTGCTTTGCTTTGCTTTGCTTTGCTTTGCTTTGCTTTGCTTTGCTTTGCTTTGAATCACCCCCGGCCCGGTCTGAGGAGATCTCCGTACATACTGATCAAAAAATTTTCTTTATAAACGTGGCGACCTCGATTTGAGATTGCTCATATCAGCTGCATCTTTTCATCACCATCTTTACACCAACCTATGAATAAGAGTGACGAGATTCCGGGAGGGCATTTCACTTCCCTGGGCCAAAATCTCTACTCTCTAATCGAGGTGGTCTAATTCAGCTTGCAAAGATTTAGCGTCCCGAGGGTGGTTTCTCTATTCACAGATCTCTGCATCCACAAAGGACCAGGAAAATCCAAGATCTTCTAGAGACATCCAGCTGCTTGGCTGGAAGCCGTCGCTCGTGAATAGCTCCAGATCGGTTTTCTCAGAAAAAGTCAATAGATAGCCGAGCAAGCGCGTGCCTCCCTAGTCTACCTCCAAACTCCAACATCCTAACTCCTATTCCTCTCCTCGCGCTCCAACACCCTTCCCTCCATCTCCTCAAACGTCCCGAGCACATCCCTATACCGCCCCCAAACCTCCTCTCTATAGCCCAGATCGACCTTCTCCACCGCCTCGCTCTCCCTCCATCTCCCCCCAATCAGCTCCTCAAAGCTCTCGCCCTCCTTCCGCTCAATGGCCCACACGGCCTTGTACGCGCCGCCCAGCGCGCACGCGTTCCCGCCCACATCGAGCTTCCACACGCCTTCCGCACCACCCAGCACGTCTCCGATGATGCGGGCGATGGCCGGATTGAGTGAGCCGCCGCCGACCAGGTAGATGCGTCCTGGCTGCGGGGGCAGGCCTTCCGCGGGAGGGAGGACGAGATTCTGGGAGCGCAGGCGAAGGGACAGGATCTGCGACTCGACGATCGCGCGCGTGTCGTCGGCGCTGCTCCATGGTGGCTGCTCTGCTTCTTGCAGGTTCGAGCCGTCGCTCGAGCAGGTGTAGCGCCACGTGCCTGCTCGCACGTTCGGCACGATCTCAGGCAGCGGGAAGTAGAGGCCGAGTTTTGCTGGGTCGGAGGGGGATGGCTGACCTAGGGGAGGAGTGGCGAGGGCGGCTTCGTTGAATGCGGCCCAGGGGTCTGGGGATATGGCTGTGGCTGTGGCTGTGGGTTTGGGAAGGGCGTCGCGTATCTTCTCGCGGGCGAGTCCACCGTTCTTGTAGCAGAGCATGAACATGTACAGGCCGGCTGTGGTGGGGTGGTTGAAGAAGTGGTACGCGGGATCTGGCACGTACTTCGGCGTGGACATGAGGAACGTGGTAGATGTTCCCAGTGAGACTATGGCGTCCAAAGGACGTAATGGGAGAGCGAGGATGGTAGAAGGGTTGTCGCCTGTGAACGGGGCGATGCCGCAGTCAGGGGGGAAAGAGTACCGCTGCACGAAGTAAGAGGAGATAGGGCCCATGCTGCCGCCGCCATCTTCGCGGACGTCGCCGAGCTTATGCTTGAGAGAGTCGAGGCCGTCATCACCTGCTGCGAGTTTGAGCAGGGGCTCACTCCAGGTGCCTGCGTTGATGTCCCAGAGGTTCATGCCGCAGACGTCGCTGATGTCGAAAGGGGCGATTTTGCCGAGGAAGATGGAGGACAAGAAAGATGACACCAGAGTGATGCGAGACGTGGCTCGGTAGACCTCTGGATGGTTTTTGTGCATACGCATGATTTGAGGACCGGTGAAGCGCTATATCTCGTTTCAAAAGGTGTTCATGGTAGTTGAAAGCAACACTTACGTGATGAGCTTTGCTCCCCGTGACTTGCGCAAGCTTCTCCGCAGAGCCCAGCTCCGCATCGAATGAATCACACTCCTTCTGCGTACTGCCATCCTGCCAATTCGGACTGAACGGATGCACAAATGCCCCCTTCTCAAGCTGCTCCACCAACGTGCCCTTCGGATCCAGAGACCCCAGTAGTCCCTCCCCAGTCTTGCTCCAGTACACGCTTCCGTGCTGCTGGCCAGCACCGGAAATCCCTTTGATCCTGTGAAAAGGCGTTTCTTTCTCCTTCAAACGCTGCAGCACTAGGTCTAAGGCCTCGAGCCACATGGCTACGGGCGCGTAGACTTCTCGCTCGGCTTCGTTGACATGGACACCTTTCTTGATGCCGTATTTTGAGAGATCGGCATCGAAGTCCGTCTTGGCTTCATACAGGACTTTCAGTTCGGATGTAATGACAATCGCTGTAATAGAATCAGCCAGCAGATTCAAGTTTCGAGAAGTACCTCACGTGTGCCTCCTACCTTTGAGTTGTTGAGTCGAGAGGTCGAAACCAAGATACAGGGGTCCTTCTGAAGTCGACATGGCGATGATCTATAGTAATCGACAACGAATGTAAACGATGCTTCTGTGATGTAGATGGCAGATATTTCATGAAGGGAAAGCGCAGTGATCCGGTGAGCTGGAAGGGTGGCTTTCTGAGTAGAGGAGGGACAATCACCAGCTTCCATTTAGCCTGAATGCACCGAGTGTGGCTGTCGTAGCTTTCGTGGCTGGACTTTCGACAGGCGTGCGCACCAATAGACGTGAACCAGCCGCACCGACCAAGCAAAAGCCGGCGTCGCTTTTTTGTTGCACGTCGCACTTTTTCCACGAGTTTCTGGACCAAGGGGTCAGCTAGTTACGCTAGCTAGCTAGCTGCTTTGTTTACTTTCTCCGTCGTCCCTCGCTTCCCGTACTGATACGGAGTAGAGAGACATTTAGCTCATTGCAAGCTTGGTGTGGAAGGAAAACTTACCGAGATTAATTCTGGGAGATCTGGTGGCGTAGAATAATAGATCAAGAAATAAAGTCTTACCGATGCCAAGGTCCGACAGGAGACGAGGCCAGCGTTATCTGTCTTTCTGAAATCAAGGGTCTGGAGCACTCGCTCGGGGCTGCTTTGCGCATGTGGGGAATTTTGAGAAATTGGGAGTAGAAAAACAAGACAATCATAACATTGGAGAGCGATAATGGATCTATACAGTACTGTCATTCCTGTATACAAAATTTAGTCGCACACAATAGTCGCACCGGGCGCCATCTTGCTTCTGCAAGTTCCCACGATATGCAAATCCCCTCCTGGGCCTGGTACAACGCCTGTTTGTAGCCATGCCAATCCACAATTCTGAACTTTTATGTACAACTGTTCTTGTGTGTGATTTATTGCGATTCCTTGCCATTTCCATTTGTGTGCGCTTGATCGTGATCGTCGTGGTCGTGGTCATGATCGTGATCTTTCGTCTCCGGGCTTTCTACATCGCCGCTGACGAATTCGTCGAACAGGGTTAAGGACTCGTCCTCTTTCGGCACAAAACGAACCTTGACTCGGCGAACACCTTTGACCTTCGATCCAACAGCCTCTCTGATGCCCTGCTCAACCTTCCGTACCTCCTCGACGGTCCAGGACTTGGGTACTGCAACCTGGAGGTCCACGAGGTAGTTTTGTCCAGACTTAACACCCTCTACTTCGCGGAGCTCGACCTGTGCTCCGTCCGGAATGGTCTCGAGACCGGTCGCGGTTGCCTTTCGGACCGGTGCTTTGATCTCTTCGTCGATTCCCTTGTCTGCCAATTCGTATAAAGCCGATACAGTGTTTCCCCAACCAGCCTTAATAACCAAGAGTGAGATCAACAAACCACCGACGGGATCTAACCATGTGGCCTCGTGCAAGAAGTTGGCGCCCAAAATAGCGAAGAGGGTGACTATCCCGGTGAGAGAATCGACTCGGTGGTGTACAGCATTCGAGGCGAGGACAGAAGATTTGCGTTCTTTTGCTACTTTCATTGCTGGCAGATAAGGTTAGCATTGGGAACTCCGTCTCGAATTCCGGATACTTACTTGCGTGGTATAGCCATTCTTTGATGATCACTGTTCCAGCAGCCAGCCACGCGGCATGTATACTCGGACCTGCTGCTCCGTGGCTATGGCTATGGCTGTGACCGTGTGCATGTGCTGCCGCTTCCGCAGCCGCGTGTGCATCCAAGAAGAAATGTGCATAGAGGATCTCGCAGCTGTTTAGACACATGAAGCAGCCTCCAAATAACAGCATCCCACTGACGCCCAACGAGCCTAGACTCTCTACTTTTCCAAACCCAGTGGGGAACAAGGCAGTAGGAGGTTTCAAGCTCCAAGACACAGTTGCCAGTGTCAAGAAATCGCTGGCGAGATCTGTGACGCTGTGCCAGGCGTCTGCGATCATGGATTGCGAGTTGAAGGCGTACCCGCCGACACCCTTTGCAATTGCCATGCCCAGGTTGGAGTAGAGCCCGACTCTGGTGATGCGCACGCCCGCATCGTTCTTGTTCTTGGAGATCAAGTATGTGTTGTCATGGTGGTGGTGGTGGTGATGGGAGTGCCCCGCGTGGGAGTGAGTCTGCGTCGCCATTGTTCTGTGTCGAGGGAGGAGGATGTTGGAGGTGGTGTTGAGGAAATGTTGGAATTGTGAAAAAGATTGCCGCGGCGCAGAGGTTTTATGTATCGAGCAAGGGCTAGAGGTAGAACTAGAGCTGAAAGAGAGTGAATCGAGAGCGGCAGTCAGCAGAACTCGCGATTGCTGATGCTTTTGTTGGTGGTGTTGTGATCGATGTGTCCTTCTCAGAGTGACGCAACTTAAGCGCGGCCCGACAATGGAACAGCGAAGGGGCAGCATTTGAAGAGGGTCCGGAGATCCAGGGCCGGGGAGGACCTGGGACGCGTGGATGTATACGCGGACATGCAAGGAATAGTTTGTTTATTTGGTTTTTCTGGCTCTGACTTTGTCTCTAGCTCTAGCTCTAGCTCTGGCGATGCCTCTGCCAGGTTGCCGGGAGACGTTGACAATAACAAATGAATTGTGGTGGCTCAGGGACTTGAGGGCCGGGAATCGGGATGAGTTGAAGAGGTAGAGATTGGATGGCATGGGACGGATAGTTTTAAGGTGGTTCAGAACGCTACCGGTATCTTAGCAATAAGTACTAGCTAGTACTTACCGTGACGATTAGCCGCCGCATATTTCAAAGAAAACCCGCTCTTTGGATCCGGCGACATCCACCTGTCTTCCACCCCATCTAATTTAGGTAATCCGTCATCCAAACTAATCCTCGACTCGACTCAGTACCGCAGGTACCTTAAGCTCCGGTACTTGTAGTCCCCTTTCAGTACTTACTTAAGCATTGTCCGCGCTCGGCCTGCCCGCCCAGCATACTCCGTACGTCGAGTCATGACGCGAATACCCACAGCGTCCAAAGCGTCCTCCTAGGTACTCCTCCACCACAGTCAGCACCGGGCCCCATCTGTCAAGCCTCACAAGCCTCGCAAGCTCCTCCTCCTGCTCCTCCTCCTGTTATCCTCCTTCTCCAACCCGTTCCAGATGCCAGATCCTCGATGATAAAACCCCCCTTTATGCGGATTCCCTACACGGGCCCTCTCCCACCACCAAATATTATCCCCCGGAATGCCAACACCGTCACGGGTGCCATCGCCGCTCTCTCCAGATTCCTGACTGCCCCGCCATCCCCCTCGCTACGGCCAGATGGGGTGACCGATCCAAATTCGACGGTGATACTGACGGGCGCGGGAATCTCAGTGGCATCCGGGCTGGCAGACTACCGAGGGACGAATGGCACGTACCGGGTCAACAAGACCTACCGCCCCATCTACTATCATGAGTTTCTGGCAAGTCATGAGGCGAGGAAGAGGTATTGGGCACGCAGCTTTCTGGGCTGGACGAATCTACACAAGGCCAGGCCGAATCTCGCACACTATGCGATCAAAAGCCTGGGCGAGTTGGGCATCGTGAGGAGTGTGGTCACGCAGAATGTGGATTCTTTCCACTCGGCTGCTCATCCAGAACTCCCAACTCTGGAGCTTCATGGGTATCTGAGGGCTCTCACTTGTGTCACTTGCCATAAAGATCTGCCGAGAGAGGCGTTCCAGGATGCACTTTCGAGATTGAACCCAGCTTGGGCTGCTTTCTTGGTGAAAGCGATTGAGTCGGGGGCACTTGATACTGAGAATCCAGACGAGAGGAGGGCAAAGGGCATAAAGACGAACCCCGACGGCGATGTTGATCTACCAGGAGCTCCATATACAACTTTCAGATACCCGGCTTGCCCTCATTGTTTAATGAATCCACCCGTGGCAGGAGACGGAACGCAAGCAATAGTTGAGGTCGACGCTGAGGGGGCTTGGAAGCCAACAAGCACTGCGGGGATATTGAAGCCGGCCGTTGTGATGTTCGGCGAGAGCATAGCGACAACCGTCAAGGATGCGGCTGAAAAAGCAATCGATGGGTCTGGCAGACTACTGATCCTGGGTACTTCCCTGGCAACGTATTCTGCCTGGAGACTTGCGAAAAGGGCTAATGAACGGGGTATGCCGATTGCGATATTGAACATTGGAGGAGTGAGAGGAGAAGAAGCTTTCTTCCAGAATCTGCCTATGGGCCAGACTGGAGAAGCTGCTGTCCGAGTCGAATTAGGTACCGATAGGGTTCTTCCTGGACTCGTAGATCAGCTGAAGAGGACGGGGCTTGTCTCGAAAGTCGATAACCCAAGATCCACACGTAAAGAACACGCAAACAGCAGCATTTTCAAAGATATGCTGTCATAAGATAACCATGTATGGTATACTTTGTAAACTTCCCAACACCATAGCTCTAATAGAAGCCAGATGGAGCATTTGACTTTGGCTTTTCGACAGGTTGTGCCTCGGTGATATGTGGTTTCGCAGTAGCAGCATTAGCATCCTCGAGGTTTCGTCCATGCTTTGGCTTGCTTTTCCGTGACTTCTCCCAGGCTTCGTCTTCCCGCTCGATTTCCTGCAAAACTGCAATGCTTCACGTCAGTCTCAGGTCCTCGGCACCCTAAACAAGCAAGAAGCCATCCATTCATACCTTCTTCCCACTCCCTCTCCCTAACAGCATCGCCCGTCCCCAGCAGCCCCTCGACATCTACATCCTCACCCTTCTGTATCCTTTCAATAATCTCCTTCAGCAACCCGATCCGCGCGTCCGCGCGGCGACTGAACGCAGCGAACTCGTTTCGCAACGCGATCATCTGGATGGACATGGACCCGATGAGCAGAAATATAGCGATGAAGAAGGTCGCGGGATTCCACTCCTTGGAACGTGCCTTCTTCTTCAGAGCTGCGCTGGGAGAGCTCTTGCGTAGTGGTTTAGGGATCATGCCGAGCCAGAAGTCTTTCTGGATGACGCTGGGGAGCATCGAGTACTGTCGTGAGAATGAGAGAGTTGGCATCATCCGTGGAGGGACGGAAACTAGGGAGTTGCGCATCGCAGGAGGCGCGAGGAAGAGCTGGCGGAGCATTGTCGACCTCATCGTTGCAGTTGACTGAGGAAACTGTAAGAGTGGTTTTCTCGAGAACTCAAAATTTGATGGACCGACTGGAGTCAAAGCACGGTCGCGGTCCAGAGGTTTTTGCCGACCCGCGGCTTGTTGCCTTGCCAACAAGCGTGCATCAACTTCAAATTCGATTTCAACACCTTTCCAATCCTCAGATTCGTTACAAGGCATCATAGCTCCTTTGGCATTTTGGTTTGCTCTGGTATAATGTCTAGTCGCCATTAACATTCAGCAACTTTGCGCGCAATCCCTATTCATCATGGCTTCTTTACAAGCAACCGCGGACTCCATTCGGAGCGCTGTTGGCTCAGCATCAACATGTACACCAGCGACAGTGTCAATACTCAGCAAGCTTTTGTTACCGAGAACAGATATCCAGACAACAACCGGAAAGAAACCAGTAAAATCTGCTACAGCTTCCAAGGCAAAATCCACCAAGGCAGCCCCGACCAAGTCAAGGACGAAAAAGGTGGTGGTGGTAGAGGAGGAGGGTCGCAAAGATGAGGAGGAGCTGTCGCCAAAGGAAAGGTCCATACTGGCTACAGAAGTCATAAACACCACTTTGAAGTCACTCAGTGAGGCCATCAAGGCGCCTTCGACAGTTCCAGCCCGACGACAAGCATCCTCCAAAGATTTGGTCAAGTCATCAGCAAGAAAAGTCCTTCGACGATCAAACTCCTTACCCCAGTCGCCATTGCAGCCACGCTCCCTTAACCGTGTAACAAGCTACCAGGATATGTCGAGTAGGCATAGTCGGTCATCTTCTTCAGCGTCCTCAACACTCTCAGGCCACAGATCTGTTGCAGAATGCGCCAGGGTTGCTTTTGCATGTCTTCGGAATTTGCAAGCTGCTCAAGTACCTGGGGTGGACCTGCCCCCATTTCAGCTTGAGAACGGAATGTCAGTTTTGGTTGGAAAGATGGTGGCATTGGGTTTGGAGGATTTGGCCGTGAAGGAGTTGAGAATACTGAAACGACGATTGTATCCTGGAGATGGGCAAAAGAAAGGTCCTGCAGCCAAATCGAATGTGGCCGCTTCTTCACAGACCTTGGCTGAGCTATTGGATTTCGGGACTGCGAATTTTACGGGATCAAAGTTGGGGCTGGTCATTACTTCTCAGCTACAGACTCTACGACTTATGACTTCTTGCCGGAAACCTAAGGCTATTGAAGATGGACTTCCCATTTTGCAACCCGAGCACGCCTCGTCGCCGACAAGACTTCTCCTTGAAGCTGCGAAGGATCGTGGGAACGCAAAGTATACCGACAAAATAATCAGACAGATGCAAACGCTCTCGGAAATCCTACTATCGTTATGCCCAAGCATTTCCCAGGCTGATGATGCTCTTGCGTTGGAGACGAGACTTAGTATTTCCCCCGAAGTAGCGATCCAGCTGCAGACGTTGGCACTACATAATCGCTTCCTGTGGTGGGGTCTTGCAGGCCATAAGGGCGACGAGGGCAAAGAGATTCTGGATCCATATTATCGATGTCTTTCCACTTTCGCCCGTCGCAGCCAAAGTGGTGCCATGAGGACATACCAGGTAGCTGGCTTAGCGATGACTCAAATCAGCACTTTACTGTATGATTGTACCGATGTTCGACCGCCTTCGCCAAGACCGATATTGTCAGCAATATTCCGACTTTTGGGTTCTCTAGCACGAGAGGCGAACTCTGTCCAAAACGCAATAAACTGGACGATGGAGTGGCGGAGGATGCTTGACCCCAAGGTTGATTCGGACGCTAAACGATGTTCTGCTCTCGCGAGACTAGTCTCACTGAAACTTCGAAGTTCATCTGGGGATCCGGAGGAAGAGGAACTCCTACTTTCGCTACTTGAAGAGCTGGATCGGCCGTTCAAGGGGGGGTCTCAAGAGATTGACGACTTGATGACAGAGATCTCTGGCGTGAGACGATCGGCCATCTCCCTTCTTGCTCAGCATAAAGGATCATCCGGTCTAGATTCCCGTGACGACTTATCTCGGGGAATGCGTGAAATGTGCGAGACTTTGGTTTTCCTGTTACCACGCATATGTCTGAGGTACATGGGTAACCCGCCAGACACCAAATCATCAACCAAAGACATCCTTCGCTACGAGCAGCGCCGGCATTTCATTACTAAGTTGGCCATTCATGCTATTGACTCTTCACTGTTTTTAGTCAAAATGCTTCTTGGAAGTGGTCGAGCTACTTGGGACCTGGTAGACTCCAAACTTCAAGACTGTCTCTTGCTAAGTGATCGCCTTGATACTGAATCTCGAGATGTACATAGGCAGGAAGGAGAATCGCCAGTATCATACCACGTCAGGATATCCAATCTTTACTACACCCAGTATCTCAACATGAGGCGGAATTTGGAAAATGTGAAGGAGAGCGATCAGATTCGAGCGCTCCGGCGATCGCTGGACAGCGTTCGAGCCAGACCACAGCAAGAGCGAAAGATGGCACAGTTCTCGACGAAACTTGAGCGCATGGCTGAATACTGCAAGACTACCGGTCGTTATGATGAGCTGTTCAAAACCCTCTTGACCCTGCGGGATGAGATGGTGAGCGACGGAACTCTGAGTTTAGTGGTGGAAAGAGCAGCATCTCAGCCGTTGAACGTTGCATGGAACCAAGATGATGATTCGTCTGTACTTGGTCGGACTTTGCACTCACTTGTCAAAGTTCGATTGAAGTATATAATGTCCACTGTCCAAACCCCGCTTTTCAGCGAGAAATGGACCGAAGAGGAGAAAGGGGTGGTGCTCGAGCACCAATTTGAGCTGTTCTCTAATTATCCGGTCGACCCCACTGCTTCAAGGAGTCTTCTGTCCAACATCTTTGCCGAACTTCTCTCCATCTACGACCAGAAGCATTATCCCCTCCGTAGACTCCGGATCCTGATTCGCCACCTAGCGCTGGGTGCAGACGACGATGAAAACACAGCCCGATCTTTGAAGGATGAGCTACGTGTTCTGCACATGGCTAAGTCAGACGGCTCCTATATGAAAGACGAGGGTTTACGGTCATATGCAAACCATCTGAAGATTCTGGCAGCCACGATGTTAGAGCTTGATGAAACGGCCCCGAACGTTGAGGTGTTGAAGGAAGGTATCGCCACGTGGTCCTCGGTGCTTACACAAAGCCAGAATGTGGCAGATTTCAAGCGGCAGGTGGAAGATATACCTGGGCTCCTGGCACACTTGAACACCATTGGAGATTACTTGCAGATGAAGGGTCTGGATACTGTTCGGATCTCGGTTCTTCGACTCATTGCTGATATCAGCGGGCTTTGCGATGACAACTCTACACCAGATGACCTGGTGCTTAGCTTTACCTACCTTGGGGCCCAGTGGCTTCAGCTAGGATACTCTGGGAAGGCTGGGCTGTCATTTGACAAAGCTATGTCTTACCTATCGCGCAACGGGGTCACTCCATTTGCTACCCTTCAATTGCATCTTTCCCATTGTGAATACCTACTAGCTATTGGTAGCCTCGACAAAGTGTAAGTTGCATATCTCTGACAATGTACACACGACTAACGAATGGCAGTGAGGAGCACTTAGCTGGAGCACAGGCTATGTATGCTCAAGCGAAAGACCATATGCCAAGGTCGAGGTCGATCTCGCTACTGCAGCAGAGAACCAAGATGAATTTGATGGTTTCCAATGCTTACCTGGTCTACTCAATCCTAGCACTTGAGCGAGGAGCAGCCCATGTTGCACTGAACCATGCGAAACAGTGTCTGCGACTCGTTCGTCGCGCCTGGACCAATACCGAGAACCAGGTTCGAAGCGAGTCAACTGGACCGGATTGCTCCAAAATCGATGTTGAGAAACTGACGGAAGATGTATCTCATTTGAGCGTGTCGACCATCACGTTGCCAAAGAAGTCTACCGGCGAGCAGACTTGTGCCGGATCCAGTTTTTGGGCCCTGATCACACCTCTCTTCCGCAGCCTCAACCATCTTTCCACCCTTTTCGCTCATCACGGAATGTTCCAGGAGACTATCTACTACGCAGAACAGGCATACAAGCTTGTTAAAGGTGTTGGCTCGGATGTATACCTTGCTATGGCATCGGCGTTCTTAGGCAGCACCTGGCTGAAAGCGGGAGTTCTGGATCGTGGCTCTGAGTATCTAATGGAAGCCAAGCGACTTTGCCCAGAGTTTGAAAAGAGCCGAAATGGTGCGCTCATTGCATATCACCTCGGAAATATGCATGGGCTTCTTGGAGATAGTGAGGAGCAGATTTCAGCATATGGTGAAGCTGAGGAGACGATAAAGAGTATCGGGATGTTTGAGTATATCAACAGCTTGGAGAAAGTGGCCGGTTCACCCGATGGACCTGATGTGTTGGCACACCAAATGTCCGCACTGGTCCTGACAACCAAACGTAAGGTAACGTTAGCCAGAAAGGCTCCAGCTCGTGCAAAAACTGTGCCAAAGGCTGCACCGAAGCGCAAGGTGACCACTAGAGCAAAGTCGCCGATAGAGAAGGTTTCGTCGATAGCCGAGGAATGTCCACAGCTTACCTCGCTCACATCAACTATCGTCCGGCAGAAAGCACGGGCTCTCATGACCACGAAGAAATCTGGTGAAGCGATGGCCGTCTTGCAAGGGGTGGAGATCTCTGGCCTTAACCAACACGAGGTAGTCGATCATGGTCTTGCAATGGCCAAGCAATTTCTATTCCAGAGTCTCGAACAAATGGCCGCGGATCCAGTGTACTCGGTGTTGCAAGACTCCACGATATCATTCCCATCAGTGGTCGGCATGGCAAAGAATCTTGACAAGCAAGGAGATAGGCTTTCTGTGACTAAGTTTTCGCCTCCTAGGAAGGCTCAAATCCCCAGAGGTAGAGAGCAAGCTGGTTCCAAGAGCCCGGCTCCGGATAGCTTTTTCGATAAGTTGCATCAAGCCCAGGAGTATCTTACCGAGATACAGTCTCTGGTTATTACTTTGGCGCCCATGTCAGTTGTCCATACAACATCTGCTCTGTTGAACAGCGTTGCAATTTTGCTTTCCGCCGCTGGCCAGGTCAAAGGGAAGCCGCTTGCACACCCTGGGCTTGCAAGCTCTTCAATTGGTATGGTCTCTCCCCTCAAAAACCTGGTATACGCTTACTCGAACAGAAAATGCAAGAACTTTGGCTCTCCGGCGGGAACGCAGAGTCATTCGTGGCGACCCTACGACTTTGAAACTCGATGACTCCTCCTGGCCACAACTGCCTAGCACTGACTCGAGAAGATCAAGTTTTGGGCCGCCTTCGGATCTATCTCGATTCCAGAGAGACTACGTTGACATCATCCCGAAATCCTGGACCGTCGTCTCAATTTCTCTGAGTGAGAGCCGTCAGGAACTTTCCATAACCAAGTTGCAAGCCGGTCACAGCCCATTCGTTCTTCGTCTGCCACTTGGACGACACAACTCTATGGATGCTGACGAGGAGGTTTTTGGGTTTGAGCAGGGTCACGCCGAGCTAAGGGACATTATAGACATGGCGAATGAGAGCGCTCACGATGCTCTGTGTAGAAATGGCCGGGAAGCCAAGACTGCTTGGTGGGAGGAGCGAGAAGCTCTGGATGCACGTCTCAAAGACCTGCTGGAGAATATCGAAAAGGTCTGGCTTGGCGGATTTACTGGTATTTTCTCTCAGCACACACGACGGCCAGAACTCCTTGCTCGCTTCCAAAAGTCATTCCAAAATATTCTCGATAGGCATCTGCCGTCTCGGCGTAAGACGGGCAGGAAAGCTGCTGGGCCTCGTATAAATCTTGATTCGAGAATCCTGGATCTGTTCATTGGGCTGGGCGATGCCTCGGATGAAGAGTGTGACTTTGCCGAGCCTTTAACGGACCTTCTCTACTTCGTCGTCGATGTCCTGCAATTCCATGGAGAGCTCAACGCATACGCCGAGATCGACTTCGACTCCATCGTGGTTGAGATGCAGGATGCGTTGCGTGGCTACCACTCGGCTGTGCATGCCTCGGGGCAGGTCGACGAGGGCAGACACACGATCCTAATTCTGGACAAGGCACTCCACTCCTTCCCGTGGGAATCGATGCCATGCATGGACGGCCTCGCAGTCTCTCGCCTGCCATCCCTCGGATGCCTACGCGACCGCATCCTCGCCCAGCAGAAGAGCCTCGTCGAAGGTACGCCCGAAGGCCACTACATCAGCCGCCAAAACGCCTCCTACATCCTCAACCCTGGCGGCGACCTCAAGCACACGCAGTCCGTCTTCCAAAAGCCTCTCCAAGGCCTCGGGTGCGACGGCATCGTCAACCGCGAGCCCTCGGAATCCGAAGTCAAGGAGACGCTGCAGAGCAGAGATCTGCTGCTGTATTTCGGCCACGGCAGCGGCGCGCAGTACATCCGCACGCGCGAGATCCAGAAGCTGGATCGCTGCGCCGTGACGGTCCTCATGGGCTGCAGCAGCGGCGCGCTGGTTGAGCGAGGGGAGTTTGAGCCGCACGGGCCCCCGATCAACTACATGCACGCCGGGTGTCCGGCGCTGGTGGCGACGCTGTGGGATGTTACGGATAAGGACATTGATCGCTTCGCTAAGAGCGCTTTCGAGCACTGGGGCTTGTTTGAGCCGGAGGCTTCCGGTGGTGGAAGGAAGGGAAAGGGCAGAGAGAGGGAGAGGGAGAGGGAGAGGGGGAAGAAGAGGGGGGTTGAGGGGGAGGAAGGGAGAGGAGGAGGAGGAGGAGGAGGAGGCGTGAGTCTTGTGGAGGGTGTGGCGAAGGGGAGGGGGGCGTGTCATTTGAGGTATTTGAACGCGGCGAGTGTGTGCGTGTATGGGGTTCCGGTGTACTTTCGGTAAATAATACTTGTTCTTGGGGAGTTGGCATTGCTTGGGTTGGACGAGGTTGGATTGGGAATGGGAGAGGTGCTGGGGTTGGGTTTGGAGTTGGTTTGGGGGATGGAAAGGCGTTGGTGTTTAGAGCGGAGTATCTCGGATTGGGTGCTGCTACTTATTAGTGTACTGTACATACTGGGTGTTGGAATATTTCGCTTCGTCGGGATGGAGTTGCATGTTTGGATAGGGAGGAGGAAAAGCACGGATTGGAAGTGGAAGGGAATTCATTGACTTGGATCCCTTGCTACCTGCTTGTTGACCAGGGGGGCTTTCTTGCCTCCCTCCCTCCCCCTCCCCTTTCTTTTTCTCGGTTACTTATAAGCCTTTGCCTTATTACCTTTCCTTGTCTTCTTTCCGAACAGGGCTTTTTCTCTCTCTCTCTCATGTAGGATTTACAGATATTCCACTGGTACGAAAGTACCTGGATTAGTGGATTGGGTCGACCGGTCGATCGCGAGGTTTGGGTGCTGCGTTTTTCGTTTTGTGTTTTGGTTTTTATGTGCGAGGGTTCTCTTTTCTTTCTTTTCTCACCAGTGGATTTTGTTTTTAGGGGTGGGTTGGGCGGCGGGCGGGCGGGCGGGCGAGAGATTGGAGATGAGAGATGGAAGTTGGGGTGGGTCGCTTAGCTAGCTTGGGGTGGGGTATAGGGGGGGGTATAAGTATGTTCTGGTAAGAAGGTAAAGTGATTATTGAGTTGTAGGACCTCT